TAGTATTTAGAAGTAAAATCCTAAGCGGCACTCTCCTAACAAGAAAGCTCCTGCACAAAAGATATCCAGCTATATACTAAGATGACCTTTGTCCAAGATGCCTAATCGCACCAGAAATCCAAGAACACATCTTCACATGCTACAAGAATAGTGAGGCGTATGAAAAGATTGAGTTCAAAATGAAATTGAAGATTGGCAAACTGCTCAAAAATATTGATGGGACAATAACCAACCTAAACTTCAATAGAAAATTATAACCAGAGAAAGTGGCATGTGGCATTATAGACCTCAAGAACTAACTACCAAAAAAGAAATTTGCCAAAATAATAAACAGCATCTTAAAACTCCTGTACATACTAATATGGGTCTCCAGATCAGCAACCGCAAACACATCAATAGCCTCAGGAATCAGATGGACCAAACCACAAAGCAACTCACAAAATAAAAAAACCAGGAACGAAGTGACTCCCACCTGTAGACAAAACTTGTTCCATCTCATTGTTTCCTTAACTGACACACAAGATACCAACTCAAGCAATGTACTCAAGTCACATGATCTAATCGCAGCTCTGGAAGGGCGTTAACCATTCAGCACTAGAGCCAATCTGAATTACATCAAGTGTAACAAAGATAGCAATAGTTAGCATCGTAGATAGGTTAACATTAATTTGCGCACATTCCTGTACAAAGATGTTTGATGTAATTTGTGTATCAATTCATATACTTAATAAATTTTGCATCTAATGCCCTTTTACGATTAAAAAAAAATAATAATAATAATAACAATATATTAAAATATATTAAAAACTTATTAGATCAAAATCAATTTTCTAAAAATTTTTTATATTAAAAAAATATTACTACTTATATTAATTTAACTGTTTATAAATAAATATAAGCTGTTCATGAATTATTTTTGATATAACATTACTTACTTAATATAATATTGTATTAAAAGTTATATATATAGTTTAAATAGATATTTAATATAATAACAATATAATATTTAATTAATAAAATCTTGTATTTATATTTATTTACAATAAAAAAATATATACAATAGTGTGCAAAAAAAAACAGAATTTTTTTTAACACATATTTTTATTAATAAATTAATATAAAATTATTTAAATATTATGAAACTTTAAAAATTTGTTTTTAAGATAAAAATAAGAAAACTTATATAATTATTTATTAATTTTCTTTTTTTTTTTTTAGTAGGTAAATATTATTTCTTTATTTGATTTGTATATTAAAAGTATACATTATGAAAGAAACAACATTTCTCATTTGTAAATACAGTGAGTTTAATGCTAGCTTGCCTACAGAAACCACATGACTAATATTGAAAATAAAATTTAAAACAATATATCTTGTCAGGTAATACCAAGCAGCTATGTTTACCTACTCAGTATTGGGAGAAATAAGATTGGTGTAGCTTTGAATTAGATTAGTAATGTACTTGGAGAAGTTGAAATTGCTTTGAATATAGATGTCTGTGATCAAGGTAGGTAGGTCAATTGTTGTTGTTGTTGGCTTTTGTATGGATGGGGATTTTCATGAATTTGATTTTGGAGTTGCTTGATTGTCTTTGGTTGTGTCGCTGGAGGATTTGTCTTTTTATTTTATACTATTTTGTGGGGAAGTGTTGGCTGTAGCACATCGTGGTTTCCATATGGTATTATATAATTGCATTAAAGCTTCAGTCGATGTTTATACCCACTTGTCAAGGTCTAATGGTGAGAAGATACTATCAGTGATACCACATGCTAGCTTTACAACCTACCATATGTGGGTTATTAGTTTTGAATCACCATTGGGGTGGAGAATAAGGTTGGTTTGTTTGATAATTTGGTTAGCCTCTTCTGAAGCTATTGGACATTTGAATATATGTTGTATGTTTTCAGTGCAGAGTTCGCATTGTGAACAGTAGGGATTAGAGTATTGATCTGAATATTGTTGATGGAGATTTTCTTATGTGGGAAGAGTTCCTGACATGAGTTTGATGTGAAAGGCGATTAGGTCACTATATTTGTTGCTTCGTGTATTCTTCAAATCTTTATTAGATTTGTTAATAATTTTAATGCCTTGAGAACTGTGAAAGGAGTTAAATGTTTTTAGTACTGATGAGCTTTCTACTATTATATATATTTTGGAGATGCTGAGAATCTTTTTGCACCATTTGACACTGCTCTCCAGTTGAGAATTGTTGATTGGAGGATTTTCTAAGAAGTACAATATTGGATTGTTCCAGTTTATGATATTGTTGGCCCTTGGATTTGACTTGAAGCTGGAATAGGTAAGAAGTATCATTTTCTTGAGTAACATCTTGTTGATTTTTTGGATGATTGAGGATAAATCCAATTTAATTATTTTAGTTTTAATATAATTGTTAATAATGATTTAATGAAAAAATTAAAAGAATTATTAGATATTAATTGATATTTGTGAGAATTGTTTGAGATATTATAGTAATAATCTTTATATTTTGTAAGGATTGTGGATTAATTAGAGTTATTATAAATAATTATTATATATAAAGATATTTATTATTATGTTTATAAATCTTAAGTTTTATCTAATAATATTGTAACAGTATAATAATAAGTTTGTTGTTTATTTTAGTTAAGATTTATATAACTGTTATTAGATAAGTAAATAAAAGAATAATTTGAAACATGTTTTATTTAATTAAGTCTTTATTAATTTTCTTTAAATATTTTCTTATTATTTCTTTTTTATCTCTTATATTTTATATATTATTTATACTTTCTTCCTTTATATATAGCTATAGCAGCTTAAATATAAAATAATAGGCACTAATACAATAATATAACTAATATTAGATTACATAATTCTTTTTACAATTATTTTTATTCTTTCTTTATTATCCAATTGTCATAATTAATTCACTATTGTTGTGACAATCAATTATGTAATTAATATTGTATTTTATTTCTTTTTACAGTATTATAATATAAATATAAATCAATATTAATAATACTTGATATACTGTATATTGATTTTTATTGTAATTAATAATAATTAGTAGAAAAAATTATAATTAATATATATTTTGATTATTATTTATTGATATACTGTATACAGTATCATTCTATTTATTTTGCTAATGTTATCTAATTTTATACAAAGAAATATTTGTACTTTTGTTGTTTTTAAAAAATAAAGTATTAATTGATTTAAAAAGTTTTGTTTTACTAAAATCTATTATATCAATTTTTTTCCAATAGTTAGCTTATTAAATTAAACTAATTTGTGTTTTGTATAAGTTTTTTGATATTGTATATACTTATTATTATAAGGAATATTAAGATACTGATATCAAATATAAATACAAATATATTACTTTTTTTTTTTTTAAAAAAATAACACTTTTTGATTAAAATAAAACTCTTATATTAATAGTTATATTATATTACTAGTAAGACTTCTAATAATATTACTTTAATATTACTTTGATATTAGTTCAATACTTAAATTTATTATAAATTTATATGGGTCAATTATAATTTATATATTAAATTTACTATATATCAATATTATTTTAATATTACTTCAATATTAGTTTTGATACTTTTTAGAACCCTAGTTACCAATTGTTATTAAAGAACAGAAATATAATTTAAGTATATATTATTTGAATGGTGATTTTTTTCTTTAACAATAGTTACATTTTTAGTTGATATGTTTATCTTTAAAAGCAAAGATATAAAATTTTCTAATTACTATATTCTTTTTCCAATTTATATAATTGGTTCAATATTATTTGAAAATTATTTTTCTTAATTATTCTCTTGTTTTGTTAGGTGTTGATTAACTCTTTTTTAAAATAATACTTAATGTATCTTCAGTTTTTACATCCAGATCTCTTTGGTTTGTGAATCTTGTTTTATTGGATCTTGTTTACCTTTGTGATAATTTTTATATTTTTAGTACTTCATCTGGTTTTGCGTCCGACAGTTCTACATGGAATTGTAAGGTTTTGTTTAGGTCTTTTGCGTTATAACATTGGAGTCCATATCCAATAATATCTAAGCTGCTATTACAATGCAACCACTTATTAAGAATGGACCCTAATAAAATGTCAAACTCATATATGTATCCATGAGAATTCTAAAACCATGTCTTCCAAAGTTGTTGAAAATGTAGAATATGGTTAATATCTCATTGGTGACCTATCTCTCACGTATAAAACGGCAAAGATGCTCATAAGCATTAGTAAATAATGCACGTGAAAGCCAATATTGTCTCCAGTCTTGATAATTTTCCGTGACGTAAAAGCATGAAGTTAGTGTAGTCTCAAGGTGCTTCACGTGTATGAGGAACACACTCCAGAAAGCCAGCACCATGGGACCCACCTCTGTTACAAGAGAAGCTTTCATCGTCAAAGTCATTAGGAGTTCATGTTTCTATCAACAGGGGTATGTCCTCCGGATTCATTTCCCTCACTCATACTTGTTACGGAAATTTTATTCCAGTGATTTTTATTTTTTTATAATAATTTGTTGAAAAGTGTGAAATGTCGAACCGCAAGAAAAAAGACTAAAAAATATTGATGCTAATCAATCCGTTTTAACGGGAAGGTCGGGCCACATCAACTTACATATTGACTGTTTCCTTACACTAAATTTGGGTTGTTGCAAAATGCAAACAGATTCAAATCATGAATCGTTATACTTTTTGGCTATTGTTTGTAATAATGTGCGACGCCAAAACTGCGCGAATGCGCGTCCAGAGTCTGTATAAAGTTCATGTAAGCACACGTGTGCTTGGTGTGCTCAGTATTTATTTTCTCTCATTAAAGATAATAGATAATGTAATAGCTTTTGCATCTTATCAACATAGGGTAAATGATAGGTGTTCTTTCGACACAAACTATGGTAAAGATGTTTTCCTCGTACCAATTATTTTACAATGAATGTTTATCCAAATCAGATCACAATATAGTATACATCAAAGATCATACTAAACCAATGGAGTTAATTCAACATGATAAAATCATCGTTATTATAACCCATGGAAAGTAAAGTCTGTTCTACGACGGTCATCATTTCGTATGGACCACACACAATGATTTTTGACCGTTTATAACTAAGGTTCCTTGTGTTTAGCGTCAATCGACTTCTTTGGTCCATTGAAAACGATGACGCATCCGTTACCTCTTCAATCTCCGAATTTATTATCGTATTTAAAGGCGTGTAATTGACCGGTGGTGGCGACGGCGGCGTAGCAGGTTGTAAGGATACGGGCAAAGTACGACCTCCAGACAACGCACTCTGCGGGAGGGAATAATCCGATGCGTAACTTACTGAATTCGGATTTGACCCTCGATAATGATATGATCTTTCCGTGGGCAAAGGTGGTAATGGACGGGGTGTGGTTCGTACCTTATCTGTCGTCAGATCCGATGTTAGGGAACTTTGACGATCCTGTATTGGTGACTGACTTGATTCATCATGCACCGAGTTCAACCACTCTCTTACAACTTCACCACTGACACGTCCATGAATTCCTCCCCATGCAGACGGTGGTTTCGAGAGACAGTATTTGATGGTGAGCATTCCTCGGCTTGAAAACGCGAGCTCTTCAAGTAATTGAGCGTCAATTATATCATCGACTTCGCGATTACCAAATAGCAAATTCATTTGCACGCGAGAACCTTTCCCTCGTTTTAAAACTTGTTCCAGATGATACCTGATCAGCTGTGCGGGTAACCGATATAACATACAGGAAAGGATCAATTTATTATTATTATTTCAGCAAAAGTATAATAATAACAATTTGGTAAAACTTACCTGCAACATTGGTGTGATCCCGGTACCGCCAGCGATCTAAAAAAATCGAAGTTGTTAGAAGTGACAATTCCTAATTTATTATTTATTTTGATATTATAAATACCATATACAGCATTTCCCAGCATCCATCCGAGCTGTTCGGGTTCAACAAAGACGTTTTTCCGCCAAAACCATCTTCATCAAGTCCCAGATATGGAGAACTGGATGTGGGTGAACTGATATAGCTATTTGTTTTCAAGGAAATGCGCATTTGTCTTTCCATTACATCAAATGGTCCACGAACTCGAACTTCGTAACCAATTAATTGCTCGTTCTGACAGAAAACATGCGAGTATGAATAGGAGGTTTAATACAGAATGAAATATAATAATAATAAATTCGAACCAGATGCTGTGATATGAGACCATACGGATAGATTTTAACGTATATCGAAAAAGATTTTAACATTGTTCCTTCCAATGGAGTATAACTTCTGACCACCACTTGACCCTTAACTCTGGCTTGAATTTCTATATAATGTCCGGGAAAAAATCTCGAATCATTCGCATTCTCGCCTTGGTCCACTTGATGAACCTTGGTGAACGTGAAGCGCATCACCGGATATTTCGTACTCGCATTAACCGGCGATTTGCTGGTGATTTTGTATCGACTAAATTTCTTATGTGAAATCATATTCTCATCCAAGAGGTCTTCTTTGGATTTGTCGTTGAGATTCTCGATAGGTTTTATTTTGATACTCGTTTTTTCGCTTTCTTTTATTCGACCAACCACTAATGATGCTAATTTTCTTGTCGCAAATCGACTAATAAATTAAACACTGTTATTATCACACATTCCTCGTGACTTCAAGTAAAATATTTTATGAGCATAAAAATACCTATGAGTATGAGTTGCCAATGGAACAGATAAATAATATTTAACATTCATCGTGTCAATAAATTCTGCAATAGAGTTTTTTTTCTGTTTTGGAAGAGTCCTTGTCAGATGTGAAGTGTACTTCTCCAAAACCGATGTCACAATTGATCCAAGGGGTTTTTCATTTTGCAACAAAGGAGTCTCTGACGAATCAATTTCTTCATTAATTACATCTTTTTTATGCATGTTGAAAAAGTCTAATGATCACGTGATGATAAAGAAAGAAAGATTAAATTTTATAAGCATGAGGAAATCGGACTTGGACAGCGATTGCATCCTTAAATGTGGCTATATGTATATACCCCTTGTGATGTCGGTACCGATAACCTAAATAGAAAATTGGTAAGTTGGAACTCTACGAATAAATCAATAAAACTGCATCATGTAATTATGAACTTACACGTTCGAGAATTTGTGAACCACCCGGGTGAGCTCCGATCCATTTTCTCACATTCGCAACCAGGTTATCGCAAACAACCAAATAAGCCTAAACAAAAGTAAATTCGCATGCGCAAAAAACGGTTCAGAATCGGCATAATGTTTCCTTTTAAAGTGATAGGATTTACCAACCCCACTCTGGACGCGTTCGTTAAATTCATCCCAAGTAAATTCCGGTAAATTCAAATATTCCTCATGATTAATATAAGTATGTATCATGGATCTTTTTTCGATTATCGATTCATCTTCGTCCATGCAAACCAATTTGTTTAGTGTGCCTTGTCGAATCCACCAAAATTCACCAAATACAAAGACCGATACCAATATAATAAGCCAACCAATGTAGACTGCCTTATACAGAGTTGAATCGCTAGTAAAAATAATGATGTTAGCTTAGCCTGATCTATAAAGAACGAATAAAATCGGTAAATGTTGATAGACATTCTTACTAAGAATAAGTGGTGCAGAAAGTGTCGATGCCTAATAATGGATAAAAGGTTGTAAATATAGAATGCTGAAGATATGTGAAAGACGCTGCGTTTCATGCAAATTCAACTCACCAAGATACACATTGGCCCTATTTTTTTTGTTTGATCGTGAGAAAAAAGATGTTAGAGAAGTCATCATGATAATATTCACTACTGAAAAAACACTGATGCATAAATATTTCATACCAAGCCGCTAGAAGCAAAGTAGCTCCAAAGAATTTGTGAGTGCGTTTCACGAAACGAGGGTAACCCTGATGAATGTCATTATTTAAGATTACATATAAAACCAGTAAGTTAATAGTTCCGTGCAAAATAAGATAAATCAATTATGTAATATAAAAAACCTTATTAACAGAAACAACGGATGTCTGTCCCCACATGGCTATTAAGCCTAAAGCAAGTTGAATAAATGAACAGGAAAATATGAACAGACCAAACCTAATTTATAATAATGAAAAAATTATTGGATGTGATTGTTTCGCCTTGAAAAAAAAAATCAAAAAACCAAAATTTCGTGCTACCGATAAATAACAATTTTATGGAGAAGAAATTACCATGCATGCGGCGACTGGACATATTGCACAGTAGTAATAGCGGCAACACCGACTGTTGATACTATCGCGCCTCCAAGCAATTGTACAAATTGATGGATGGCGAGATGGTCGTTGCGATGCTTAGTATGAACAAAATAGATGAAATGAGTACCAAAGAATTTATGATGAGTATGAAAATTATTAAGCTACCTTAAAATATCGAACCAAGAAAACTGAAGCCGGGAATAGAATACTATCACATATCCCATAAATGCACTGTATTAGTTCATGGTAAAATAATAGTAGATTCAATAGTATCAAGCCTCAACATACCACCAAACAAGGAACATACAAGCACCGTGAATTGCCTTTGTGGTTAACTGCATACCCGTTATAACCGACGATGAAATGATATTATTATAAAAATCGATATTCATCAAAATACGATTGTTTCCGTGATAAGAAAATTGTGAGCTAACTGGATTGTAGGCCATGATGACTGGGCATGTTTAAAAAATGAGATTAAAGAGAAGCTCATAAAAATATATCCTATTTACAAACTTACATTTCATAGCCCCATTAACGATAGACTTTTTTCCCGGCCTCGCTGCATCCAACGACCTCGTAAATTCAACCGTCGCAACGCCTGTGCTACTAAGAAATGCCTTGCGAACAATAACGGTCTGATCTTGATCGACTATGGGAGGATGATAAACGTTGGGATCTGCGTGATAATTCTTCAATGTGATATTTTGATCAACCTGCAATGCATAAGTGACTATCGCGTTAGATGTGTGTACATCTTAGGGTAGATTAATGAATATTTTCACGTACAATTCCAATGTAGAAGTCCGCCCCCTTCATACCAAGATCATCTGGACCAAATCCCTAAAATAATATGAAAGATGAACTTTAAAATTATCTTTTAACAATCATTCGCGAATATTTATATATATATAAACTCTCCCACCATTCCAAACCATCCTTTGCCACCAGACGTTTGTAGCTCAACTTTAAAGTCAATGGTTTTGCTCGAAACACCATCAATCCTATAGAATATGATATACTGAGGCCAGGCTTCGATCTTATTTGGATAATCGGTGTCATCACCATTTAGTTTTGATTGTGGCTGCACGGTCCAAATATTTTGAGGAAAATAAACGCTGCTATTAATGTTACGCATAATGATGTCCCTAAATGTGGTGCTCCTCAATATTGCTTTATCGGCGTCGCTAAATGGAGTAGGGCTCTTGGGATTTTCCCACCAGAAGATATCTGTGTCTCTGACATTTGAAAACTTTAGAAGAGAGAAACAGGAGGTATTTGATTATCCAAATAATAGCACGGGAATTCTCTAGTTTAGTGACACACCTATTCATACCTGTGCTTCAAAACTAGCGCTCAACGTTCTACCAAAATTTGATCCATCTAAATGGTCTTCGCTCAATACACCTACCCAAGCTTCTACTTGATCGACTAATAAAAGAATATTATGAATTGCATTGTTAATATACAAAATATGTATACTGTATATATATAGTGTATCATTATACATTATAACAAATTTAAATACCAGATGAATACACCCTGGCTAAATTTGATTGGATAAGTGAATTGCTAGTAATATCCGCAAATGAATTCGCCTTTGGGATTCCGAAAGATTGGCGTACTACGTTATATAATGGAATCCCTATCAATGAATTTTATTTAGTGATCGGTTTAATAACTGTTAATGTAAATAAGGTCATCAATTGACTGGGGCAAAAGACTCACCGCGATCTCTAGACCTTATAATGTCAAAGGCCGCCAGATCGTACGTATTAGGTTCTGGGCTAATCGCATTCTTCGTAGCAGACGCCAAAAAGATGTCGACCTCTTCCTGTCGCTGTAGCGCCATCGATCTAAGTATCGTCTCTACCCCAAATGTTGTTAATAGATCTGATCTATTTAACTGTCTGAACGGCACAGTCGCCACAATTTCAGGAATCTCATTCTGGATCAGGTAATTGTCACTTTAAAAATATTTAAAAATACAAAAGCGCCAGTAAATTATCATATTTATCTTAATTACGCGATACAACGCGTAAAACATTGTTTCACTATTAATACTTACCTAAGTTCACTATGTCCATATCGGAATGCTACTGTGGCAAAGAAAGTATCTATACCAGGTTTTATGTCCTTGTTATAAGATTGATAGGCAGGCAATGGATGACCTAGTAAAATACCAAGGTATTCTTCGGTAACGACTTTTTGATAGAATGCTATATTCCAACGTTTCTATATATAAAGCTAGAAATTAGAAAATAAAAATACGAAAATCTTATCCATCATACAATCATCATACTCCATTATACTGACAGCTTCCTGAAAAAGTTCTTCATCTGACCATTCTGGATGTTGCTTATATAACTTCTCACACATTTGATTATGTTCACGAATCCAAATGGTCTGAATTGCCAGTGTGAAAATACTAGGCGATCGTATCGATACGGCACCCCAAACGTACGCTCCGTTGTCGTCTTTAGGCGGATATGAAAGTCCATCAGTCGTACTAACCTTTAACTTTCCCATGACATCTTTATAGAAAATTTAAATGAATAGTTAAATATGACAGTAAATATATTGTCTAGTTAAATTAAAAAATTCATTGTTCCTGTGGTTATTGCATACTTTCACGGAGATACGATTCTCGAGATTGTGAATACCCATAGATATTGTTCAAGTCTAAGAAAGGCGTTACGAAATTATATCCCGAATACTGAGGATTCGTGCCGTTATTAAAATCGGATCGATTTGCTGGTAGGAATGTTTTGCCGGTTTGCCCAAGGGGGTTATTGAGATCATAGGAAGAGTCGTCGGCCGGCATGTACACATAAGTGTAGTTTGTTGTATTGGCCCTTGAGCTAATAAGGTCAAATGAGACGAATTCACCAAAAAAAGTTATCTAGTGTATTTGTAAAATTAAATAAAAAATTAGTGAAGTGTATCGAACCAATTTTTTTTTACAATATGCAGAAAATGAATTAACTGCGCACAAAGTGACTAGTACTTCTGCGCGATCGGTAGCTTGATTCTTTTTGAGTTTCATAATCGGAAAGGTTGTAACTGCACAATATATTAGATATACATCTTGGGAGAGGATAAAGTCCAGAAGGAATGGGGTCGGTGCATCTGACACTTGTGCTATTGCTTCCCGATAAGTAGTCGGTTACGTCTGTCAGCGAATTTACTGGTGTATTGTTGTTCTTACTAGATTACACCAGAATTATGTAATTAGAAACAATAATCTATTAAGAATACAAAAATTTAAAATTTGCTCACTTAAAATTAAAGTCTGTGATATTTCTTAAAAAATAATTTCCTGCTTTTGCTGCCAATGGATTGTCAGGATTATTATCGCTTCCGTCAGCTGCTCTTGATACCGCTGATTCCACAAAACCGAAATTGCCGATTACCAAGAACGAGAAGCAGATTATGACAAAAAACTTTACCATCGCACCTAATGACGACATTTGATTTTGATATTGATACAAAAAACGAGATTTCATCTACGTAAAACTTTTGAACTAGGATCTCGTTCCTATATGCAATTTGCTACTACTCTTATAATACTTTTGCTCCTGTTACTGAACAAGGATTTATTCTGAATTAATTGTTTAACTTTCAATGCATCAAGCAAGATGCACATAGGAAATACAGAGAATCTTTTCTAAATGCACCTTCTCTAAATGCACTCACTTTTTAAATGCACCTTTTATATTTTAACAGTACATTAAATTTTTTAAATATTTTTTATTAAAACTAATTTTATAAATATATTTTCACATAATATTCTTAAGACATTTCCTTAATATTTATCAATCTGATTTAAATGAACTTTATATATATTATAATTAATTATTAACTCTATAATATATAAAAATTTCATTCAAATTGAATTGATAATTGTTAAGAAATTAAGTTAAATAATTTTAAAAATAATAATTATAAAATCCAATTTACTTTTAAATTGTGAATTTTTATATTGTTTGTGGCGTAAAATGTGTAACGCAAATATGCAACACAAGTATGCAAACAATCTAAATAGTAAACAAAAACCCGGAGTTCAATGATCCGATAGGCGCTTTTCTTTTCTAGAAAATTGATTGAAAATTAAAATAAAGAAATAATCGCCAGTACTGTATCTAAAAAACATACCGTACATTAGTATTTTTTTTCTTATTTTCATTGAATCAATATACGTAACTAATTTCGTGCGAAATAACACAGATTAGCAGAATATCAATGAACTTTAATAATAAGTAGAAACGTACATCTCTAAAACTCTAATTTAACAATAAAATCTTAATAATTAATAATTTTTTTTTATTTTTTATTTCTTGTTTTTAGTAAATCTATAGTATATTGTAACTTTAAAATATTTATTTGGGGTTTTTTTATATGAATTTTCAATACATATTAATTTTTAATTTTTAATATATTGAAAATTAAAAATATATTGTATATATTAGAAATTAATATTTATTTGTGACTTATTTTAATAATAAGCTATAAAATATGGCTTATATAAAAAAAAACAATATATTTTTTTCAAACTTTATATTTAAATTTTTAATTTAAATAAAATATTTAATTTAAAATAATTATTTTCTTATTTATTTTTTTGAAAGAATAGATGATCTTCACATTTTATTTTTATTCTAATTTTAGACTTATAATTATATAATTTATAATTCATAATATAATATAGATTTTTTTATTAGGAAAAATTTAATATAAGACTTATAATTGTGATCTATTCATATAAACTTCTTGATACTATTTAAGGATATAGAAAAAAAAAGGTCAAAACATATATTATACCTTAAGTAATATTTAGTTACCTAAAGAAAATTAATTACTTAATTATATAAAGATACTGGAGTTACTATATATAGTATTAATCTAATAAAAGTTATATAATATAGTCATATATTATGATTGTTACAGACCTATGGATCTATAGTATAATGATTTATACTTCACAGGTCAAATCACAAGATATTAGTTCAATCTTATATAAGGGTAATTGAATAGAATTAATATGATATCTGGTGTCATAATCTGTAAAAGTGTTGTTTCTCATAATAAATTATTTTACATACTAATTCAATAGGCATTAAAATTGTGATTTCCAAAAAAAATGTCTTGGCATAATAATTATCTGATAAATATTACAATGATTGTCAAAAGTTGTAAAGTATATAAAATGTCTGTTTTCAATGAATAGGTTTGATAATCACTTTTCTAATATCTGATATCTTTTATATAAGATTTTTGCCCTGGTCTCATTTCAATCCAGTAATAAATCAGCTTGGTGGTACTTATCCAAAGAAGGCATTTGGCAATAAGTCTTATTTTTTGCAAAGTTATATAAGTTAATATTTAGGTAATAAGCACCAGTTATAAGTATCTTGAATATTCTTGAATATCATTTGAATAAATAAAAAATTAAATAGTTAGCTCAATTGCAGATAATAATAAAAAGATTTATTTCTGATAAAGCAAGTAAGGATTCTATAACTTTATTAATCATAAGATATTACTCCTAATGCCTCTTTTCAAATATTCTCTTTAATCTCTTTTGATAAAAATAAAGTTTAGTTAGTTATCAGTGAACATGTATACTATTGATCAAACAAAAAAATTTCTTTGTTTAGTAGATTAGTTTCTATATCTAATGTAAATTAGAAACAAGCTACAACAAATATTATTATTTGAAGTAATCCCAATAAAAGTTAAATGTTATTAGTACTGATATATTATAGCATTGTCTTAAATAATATTATTTTAGATAAATATAAACATTTGTTATAGGAATAACTTTTAGCTAAACAATTATACTAGTATATATTAAAAAAATATATTATAATTGTTATATTATATATCCTGAAAATAATAAAATAATATTAATAATTAGTATAGAAAATATAATTATAGAAGCTAAAATAACTTATCTGATAATTTATTTTAGTCCAAATAATTTATTTTTTCTTAATTGTTTTTCTTCTTATATTATTAATATAAATAGTAATACTATTATAAAAACAAACAATAGAAATGATACAATTAATAAAGGAAGAAGTATCAATAGAATTAAATCATTATAAAAAAATATTTTAATTAATAAACTTATTTTTTAAGTATATATCATTTAGGAAAAAATAATTGCTACTATATAAGAATATAACTTAGAATTATTAAAAAAAGAACTGATACTGAAAATAAAAGGAAAACTTATTAATAAGAGAATTTCTTAATTAAATTAGTTTTATATATCTTAATTTACCTTTAGTTATACAAATTTTAAACTGGTAAAAAAAAACTCTTTCTTGTACACACCATTTTTTTTAAATTTTCTTTTATAGTAATTTTTTCAAAATTAAAGAAACAAATTTTTTTGTTTTTTAATATTCAAAAGTTTTCTACACTTTTCTTATTTTTATTACAAGAATTTCAAGAAAACTAAAGAAGCATACTAATATATTAGAATGGAATCTCTAGTTAAGAAAAAATAAGTTTGGAAAGTTTGTTTTTCTTTTGGATTGCATGAGAAAAGACCTGTGGCAATTGCTTTTTTATAAACTTTCCTTGAAATTTTTCTTATTTTTCTTTTTTATTAATATATATTTTTTATTAAATAAACAAAAAATTTTTTTAAATAGCTTTTCTTTTATTCAAAAAATCAAACTTTACATCAAATTTATCTATGTTATTGATTTGAGGTATCAGCAATATACTGTATATTGTAAGGAATAATTAAATTTCATTATATTATTTAATTATTATTATTATTTTATTATTATTATTTTAACTTCTTTTAATATTATTTTAATATTATTTTATAAATTTATTCTTGAAATCATTATTTATAGAAAGGAATAATGTTATAATTCAAGATAGTTATATGTTGGAGATCAATTAACTTGTGAATTCTTATCAATTCTTTAAATTTCTATAGTTTTTGTATAACAAACAATCTTTGAAGCGAAATATCTTATTATTTTATTAAAATACTAGTCAAAATTATTCTATTAAACTATAAGCAAAACGACTATAAAAATATATTTTATTAATATCACTAAAGCTAGTTACTTAATATAGTTTTATATAATTTAGGGATTTTTATTCCAAATAGAATTATTAATAAATGAGTAAAGAGATAATTGTACAACTAAAAACAATATATAAGGATGGCCATTTCATCCTTTTGAAGAATAACAAAGTTATAGATTCCTCATAATTATAATCATTACATTATTTGACCTTTATTTCTTTTTTAAATTTTTAATAAACTATCTTTTATCTTTATTATTAATTTAATAAATTTTTGTTTATAAATTCTTTTATATTTTTATAAATTAATTGGTATAAATATTTTGGCAAGCTTGTATATATATAATCATATAAGGAGAACAATTCTTACAGTGCTAATTGCCATTAGTTGCTAAGTAGTAATATATTATAATTGGTGTAGAAAAAACAGCCTATTTTACTATATGTGTTTAAAACTGATCAAACAATATTCTAATTATTTATAAAAATTAATAAAGAATTTATCTATCAAAAGGATTTTTAAAAAGCTCTAATCCTTGGACACAAAGTCTTTTGATAAAGGATTATATGCTAAACCTTATATTTTTCTTTCAAACTATTCTTATATTATTAAATTTGACATCAATAATTCATATTATAACAATACAATATCTACTTCTTAACATCGTTTAGTACTAAGAATTCTAATGATTCAATTCTTAATTCTTAGATTTATATTAAATTTACTATGTGGATTATAACCTACCTTTATTTTTAATAGTGTTTCAAATCTCATATGAGTCTATGCAAGTCTATTTAATTTCAATTTTCAGGACTATACTTAGCATATACTGTTGCATCACAAAAAATCAAAAATTCTTATTCAAAAAATTTCTTATCAAAAAATTGCAATCAGTTTACTCCTGTCAATTAATCATTATTTCAAATTCAACTAATCAAACACTATTAAATATCAAAATAAATTTGTACTACCAGTATATTATACAATAATCAACATAAACAAAATCACTTTTAGTAAAAATAATCAAAACAAAATTATATTACTGATAATTAAACCAATTATTATATTAACCACTAAACATATTAACACAATAACAATAATAACTACTATAACAACAAATGATATTACATATACATTATTATCTATGGTAATTAAAAAGCTGGAGAGATGGAACAATGAACCTGTCTAGAGGTTCTCTTGGAGAAATAATTGATTTTTTATTTATAAATTTTATAGTTTATCTGATTTAGTTTTAGTTTTAATAATATTCAAAAAAATCATATTATTGATAATCAAATTAATTACTATATCAATCACTAAACATACCAATATAACAATAACAATAACTACTAAATAACAAACAATATCACATATACTTTATTATTCATAATAATCAAAGATCCAGTGAGATGAAAC